TTTTCTGGTATTGTTTTATAGTGAGAATGTTGGTATTAATAGGGTTCATTTCCTCCTTTGTCAGTGCTATTGATTTTTGTCCAAAGAGTACATTTACAGTTCTAACATAAAATTAATATTTACAGCTAACTTTTAACTTGTTTGGTTTTTAGCATGTTGTACCTCCTTTCCATCACTCTACCACCATCATTTTGAGAGCAGAAGGAACCAGCAATGCCTCAGGACCATTCAGTGTTTTTCTTTGCTTCATAGGTTCCCATGACCAAGTATTTGATCACCTACTTATCAGCTATTGGTGATGAACTTCTCTGTTCCTAACTAAGATGGTCTCTAGAGATCAGACACAGTCTATTGTTGGAGGTATAACTCAGGGCTCTTTAAGCATGACACAAGCTATCATTGCCTGGCTTCAAAACCCATATTTACCTTCACTTCACAGTAATGCCTCAGAGTAGGACTTTTGGAGGCCTTATTTCTATAATATCTTTTATTTCTGCCCTCTGCAATCATTTAGTCACCAACCCAGTTATGCCCTCTTTCGCCTTTTATCTGGCTCATTTTTTTAGCTTCCTAACCATTCTTTGTCTGCAGTATCTCTGCTTTTCAATCCAGCATTCCCACACCTGCCAAATTAATCTTCCTAATGCATAATTCTGTCAACTGTCTTGCCATAAACCTTCACTGGATTGCTCTTACTTCTAAGATAGCATACAAATGCTTTTGCTTGGTAAGAATAGTGTATAGTCTGTGTAATCTGGGTCAGATTTACATTTTCAACCCTCTCTTATTCTTCTTCCTTTCACAACCGTCCCTTCTAGAGAAAGTATTCCCCGATTTCTTCCTGACCTCTCCTGATTCTGGTGCATTGTCCCAGGCTGTGTCCCTTGCCTAACACCCCTTCCCTTCCATATCTTTGTTGAAATTCTTCTCTTCCTTCTGGGGCTGCCTTGGTGCTGTCTCATCATGAAACCTTTCCTCTTTGTTCAGTTCCTTCCCCAAATCCTCACCACTTGTATGGAAACCTTTTCCGAGCTTTATTAAAATATCTGATCCAGAGCTCTCTTTTGTTCTTATCACATTCATCCTTGGTGTTACTTGCTCTTGTATGTGTTGTACCCCTTGCCCCACACCCCATCACTGCAGACTCCTTGTGGTAGTCTTCATCTTTGATTGCTCAGTGCCATGCACATACTTGGATATGTCAGTGATCTCAGTGATGTGTGCATTATCTCTGTAGTGTACAGCAGGTTGAAAGCCTTCCTCTAGACTTCTAATTGAGCATGGTTATTTATTTATATTTGCTTTTTACGTATTTTGTATATATTTCATATTTGTACCCATTTCCCCCAGTAGCAGCCAAGCTCCTTCTGGACAGTGACAGCTTCATGTTTGTCTTTGTACCCTCAGCACCTTCCACACAGCCTGGTAGATAGAAAGTACCTAGTAAATACTTGTTGATTAATTCGTAGTTGTTTGTCTGTCATTTCTCTCTTATTCCATATTTGACCCATCTTTTTGCCTGTCATTTATGTCTATAATTCTTCTTACTTCTTTCTCTTGAGTCATTAGTCATTATCTTTTATAGCCTATTTAAATCCACTGTATGTCTCTTTATTAGCCACAATTTTGAGTGTTCTGAGGTTGTGATGTTCCATGGTCTACAGTAACGCTGAATTACTTAGAATAAATTGGCCTACATAGCATGTGATTAATAATTTTTTTAATTGAATTAATGGATACTAAAGTTCCAAGAAGAGGTTACTCATAAGTTCTAACATTTTTATTCAGAATTTTCTTGAGTATATATAATTTTGCAATTAAAACAATAACATTAATATTTGAAATTAATTAATATTTGTTAATAATATCATTTAATATTTAATGTTAATTATTAATATTTAATATTGATGATTTGTTTTTACTATTGATATTTAATATTTATAATTAAATGTTTTTAATTGCTGACAATTATATGCTGCATTAATGTTTGCAAAGCACTTCACAAATATTATCTCATTTGATCCTCAAGACAACCCTGAGTGACAGGTGCTATGATTATCCCCATTTTACAGATGAGGAAACTGAGACAAACAGAAGTTAAGTGACTTGCCCAGGATCACACAACTAGCCAAATGACTTAAGGCCACATTTGAATTCAGATCTTCCTGATTTCAGGACTAGAACTCTATCCACTGTGCTACCTTGTTGTTGTTGTCCAGTCATTTCAGCCATATCTAATTTCTCATGACCCCATTTGGGGTTTTCTTGGCAAAGACACTGGAGTGGTGGGCCATTTCCTTCTTGAGCTCATTTTACAGATGAGGAAACTGAGGCAAACAGGGTAATGTGACTTGCCCAGGGTCACACAGCTGGTAAGTGTCTTGAGGTCTGATTCCAGGCTTGGCACTCTATCCACTGTGCTGCCTAGCTGTGAAATAACTCCTTAAACCAACCAGTGTTCTCTGGCACAGGGGCTAGTCTATAAATCACAGTGAAAGTTGTTCTGAAGAATTACTGCCTACTTGGACATTGTACATAATGTACAACTCTAATTTTGATGTGCACAAAAATTTCTCATTGTTTTTAACTTCGAGAATATCATTGTTATTTCTCTGGCTGTCATTAATAACAAAGATAATTCTTATCAGTTTAGCCCTTCTTGGGGTTTCGTGATTTTTAAATGTTATTTAAAAATAAGTAGTGACATGTCAATTTTTCATTACTAATTGAAACTAGTGAGCCCATGGATCACAGTGTAAATTAGGAGCCCCATTTGCTTTTGTTTTTCTTTTTTCCCTCCCCTTGTACTCTCATTATGTTGATTTGCCTCACAGCTTGGAAATGAAAAGCCCCCTGAGTTTACAAGGAATTAGTCTTCAAGGTGTGGGAAATGTGTCTTAGAACCTTGAAGACTATAAATCAAATACCTGAGGTTCAAAGATTTTGGACCCAGGGACTAAATCTGCGTGAAGAGGAATTTTTGTAGAAGCATTTTCTTTAAAAAAAAAAAATACACACAGACACACAGAAACACACAAAATAGCTAGTGAACTTTAATAAATACAGCCTAGAAATAAACATTTTTAGCACCCTAGCTCTCTTTTTCTCTCCCTTCTGTTCCTCTCTCTCTCAGTCTTTCACTTCAGGAGTCTAATACCACCCTGACACCATCTCTTCTCTGAATACTTCCTTCTTATGTCTTCTGTCTGACTCTTTCTTCTTTTTCTTTTCCTGTGGTCAGATTACTGTCTAGCTTTGGTGGGAACATTAAACATTTATGGAACTAGCATTTGCCAATTTCAGGGTATAAGAGACTCTCAACCTCACTTGGGTCTCCTAGGCTCATTTCTAAAAGAGTACCTGTAGGCTCTTTGGAACTACAATCAATTTCTTCCTCTTTACTTTTTGGGTGAATTTATGCTTTTTTTGGAAAAAGTCTAGCTTATAGAGTAAATTGAGAAATGGATTTTGTAGGTGCCTTAAGTAATCATTCTCTCTGGGGACACCAATATACATATAAAGCTGCTGAGGAGGTGGGACAACGGGAAGATAATTGAAGGTCTAATAATCCTAACCTCTGCCTGGGTTCTTTTGGAGTGTTATTTATACATGCTGGATCACTCTTACCTGAAACAATATATACTTCCTTAACATTAAGAAATATACTTTCTTAGCATCTTTCCTGACCCCTTATCTTTTTGTCTTGTATGGTTATAACCCACCTTACCCTTATGGGGCTAGAACCAGGGGTGAGGAACCTATGGCCTTGAGGCCACACGGGGTCTTCTAGGTCATTGGGTAAGGCGTTTTGACTGAGTCCAAGTTTGACAGAAAAAATCCCTTTATTAAGGGCTTTATTCTGTGAAGTTTGGATTCAGTCAAAGGGTAGCACTTGAGGACCTAGAGGGCCACATGTGGCCTTGAGGTCTCAGGTTTCCCACTTCTGGTTAGATGCTTCATTGAGTTCTTCAGGTGATCTGTTATTCATTGCCTGCTATATACAAAGTATTGTATTAGATTCCAGTGGAGATAGGAAGTTCAGATAAGACTTAATCATTACCTTGGTTGAGTTTTGACTCTATTGGTTGCTGGAAGTTATACAAAACTGTGATATATAATATTGCGTAAGTGCATTAGGGAGATTCAAAACATCAAAGGTCTTTACTGATGAGGAAGATCTAGAAAGGCTTCAAGAATGGGGGGGTAATTGATATTTGAACTGGATTCTAAAGAATGGGGAAAGAGGATAAAAGAATATATCTTTGCCTTACGGGAATGTAAGCAAAAGAAGAGAGAGAGGTGGTCTGAGAGTACAGTATGTGTTCTGCGACTAGGGATATGTTCATTTTGTCTGCATCATGTGAAGGGGTATAATTGAGACAAAATTGGAAAGGTATGGTGACATTAGGTTGTTGAGGGCTTTGAATGACAAGCACAAGATTTTAAAATTTTCTCAACAGACAGCAAAGTCATTGAAGATATTTAGTCAGAGGGGTGATGTGACCAAATTTATGCAAAAGAAAGATTAGCCTTGAAGTAGTTCACAGGACTGTTTGGAGAGGCAAAGAATTGAGGCACAAAGACCTTTCAAGAGGCATTTCCAGTCTGGGTCAGTGGTCATAAGAACCTGTCTTGATAGGGATGAGGGCCAACTTCAGCTGGTGAGCCTGAATTGTTTTGTCTCTGAGGTTTCCCCCAATGTTAAACATAACTTTTCAGCCTAGTGACTTAATGAAACCTAATCTTATTTGGGTTTATTACTTCGACAGCTCAGCTCTTATACCTCCTGATCTGCATTACCATTGAGTACAGCTTGTGTTGTCATTAAAAGACCCAGCCCACAGCTGCCAAAAGCAAATATTTCTCTCTTGTTAAGAAGGATGCCAGTACATTTGCCAAGTCAACAGCCAATGCACAGAAGTCAGTGCATACATTATTGGATCTTCCACGGTCTCAAAGTCGCTGTGTTTCAGATTTTCTTTCTGCTTTTTAATTCTTAGCTTCTGACTATGGCTTATTCCTATCGGACGAGGATCCCAGGAAAGGCATTTGGCTGGAAGCAGGCAGAACGCTGGACTACTACATGCTGCGTAATGGGGTACGTTTCTCCCCATTTTTGTTTTCCTATGGGCCTTTATTTTGGGGCCTTCTAATGAAAGCAAATATTACTGTATGTGGAGGAAAAGAAGAAAAAACATGATTTGTTTCGATTCAAGAGCAATACTTATTCTCAAACACTCCTAATTTTCTTTGAAGGGGAGGCTCTAAGGGTGTTAGAAAATGTCAACAGTCCAAATTCTCAAAACTCCATGGGGGCATAGGAATAGCCCTGGGTGTGTGTGTTTTGAATATTTTCCACACCCAGTGGTACAGTCCTGTGTCCTGCTTAGTTCTGGAGCCAGAGATCTCCTGGTGGATATTGTGGGGATATTCCTGCAATTATTAATGGACATAGAGTACAGAGTGAGGTTGGAAGATAGAAGGGAGATGAAAAATGAATTTGAAAATTAAATTTTTCTCATCATTTTGGGAGGAGTGGGACTCGTGTATCTTTTGCATCTGAAAACACATCCTTCTGTAAAGCAACAAAACAATTTTAATAACAACAAGTCATTTTAATGCAAAAAGAAAGGTTAGGGAAGGGAGGTAGACTGTGAAAAGGGGTTAAACATTCCTTTCAGTTTAATCAACCCTAAGATAATAGCTCTCTGATGCATGAAGGCCAGCAACTGGAGTGGACAAATTAGATTGGTTAATATTCAGTGATAACTCCACCATAAGCATTGCATGAATGTTGTGAAGGAAAGATCTTTTGTCCTCCACCATTGCATTTTGGGGAGTCACAACAAAGATGAGGTCACTTATTTATACATATACACATATGGCTCCCAGACCTCATATCTCTTGCATGGTCTTCATATTGAATGTGAGGACAGAGGGCCTCTATCAAGTCTTTTTTGGAAAATTCTCAGATTTGTAGTTTCTTTCCTCTGAAGAATCTCCCTCAAAAATCAAAATGAGCTAATCCTCGTTGGATAGAACATAAGCCATAAATCATACAGAGTCTCAGTAATTGTAAACTGCAATTATGTGGATACAATTTCAGTATTATTGGTATTTGTTTTTTTTCTTTAATTAAAGCAATTACTAAGCACTAATGAATTGATTTTGAATTAGAAATTGTAGTCCATTTAGTGTTTGTGGAACAAAAGGGCTTTCACTGAGGAAAAGCTGCCTATGAAAGTAAATAATGTCATTAACTTCATCCACACCTTTACTTCCATGGCTCTTAATCTGGATTCTGTGAATTTTTTAAGATATGTTTTGATAATTATATTTCAGTGTAGTTGATTTCCTTTGTCATCTTATACATCTTATTTTATGCATTTAAAAATATTCTGAGAAGGCAGTCCATAAGCTTCACCACTGCTAAAGGGAGTTTATGACATACAAGAAAGGTTAATAAGAACTCCTGCTGAACTTAAAGCTGTATTTCCATGAAGGGACAGCCGGTGTGAGATGTTTCTGTGGTTTGTGTCTAGGATATTTTGGAATACAAAAAGAAACAAAGACCTCAGAAAATACGGATGCTGGATGGATCGGTGAAGACAGTGATGGTGGATGATTCAAAAACTGTTGGGGAATTACTGGTCACGATTTGTAGCAGGATAGGTGAGATTTCAAATGCCTGATTCACTTTATGGGATGTCTCTTTTTTCCTCTATGCTCACACCCTGCCCAGTGCTTCAAATTGCTGCAAAGATCCAGTTCCTACCCTCACCCCATGTACATGCTTCCTGAATCTACTCAAATTGATATTTCCCTTTAATAATTGAAATGTCCAATGAATGCCAGACGCCTAATCTTAAGTAATTCAATTAAGGAGATTCAAGAGAGTGTATCTACCCTGCAAAGAAGGAAGAAAGAAGAATTAGAAAATCTTAAAGTATTAATAATAGAAGGGCAACTAGGTGGTGCAGTGAATGGAGCACTGGTCCTGGAATCAGGAGGACCTTAAATCAAGCCTCAGATACTTAGTAGCTGTGTGACTCTGGGCAAGTTATTTAACCCTGATTTTCCCCTGCCCCCCACTCCCCCAAAAATAATAAAGTAGAAAGAGCAGCAGACTTGACTTGGAGGGTGGAGAAATCAGGGTACAAATCCTGCCTCTGACATTAACAGTGGATAACATGACTAAGTCGCTTACCTTTAAAGTCTCCTCTGAATATACCTGTATAGCTTACTTCTCCAGTGTTTGTTAAGGGATCCAGTGTGATAGTATATGTAAGTTGCTTTTTAAGCCTTAAAGGGATAGTGACCAGACCTGTGATTTCATTGGTTTCTGGAACTCCCTCATGAGAAAATACCCTCTACTAAAGCAAGTAGGCACCTCTCCTGTGACTTAGGGTTGCCTTGAGCACTGAGAAAGGTGAATTAATTGCATTGTTCTAGTGAAACTGTCAATAGTTGTCAGAGGTGGCATTTGAACCCATGTCTTTCTGATTCTAATGTTAGCTTTTTATCCACTATTTCTTCCATGAAACCTTAAACCACTGTCTACATAACTACTGTAGTGGTGGTGATGGTGGCGGTGATGGTTGTAAGAAGTGTTAGAATACAGTGGGAAGAGTAGGGGATTGAATTCTACCTCTGCTACTAAGTATGTATTTAACCTCTGTGAAATCACTTTATCTTATGGGGGAAAGAGGGCTCTAATTTATTCACCTTTAGAAGGTGATTGGAATAAATTAATTTCCTTTCAGCTCTAAAATTCTATGACCCTAAGATTATTTATTCTAATTGCCCACCCAGTACAAGAATCCTTTTTATATTCCTGGTAAACAATGGTATGGCCTTTTTCCTTTTTTTTCTTTCCTTTTCTTTTTTCTTTTCCTGTTCCTTTTCTTTTCTATTTTGTTTTCTTTTTCTTTCTTTCCCTTTCTTGTGTCTTTTCTTTGCTTTCTCTTTTTTTAACTTTCTTTTCCTATCTTCTTCCATTTTCTTTTAAGTTTTATTGATGTGTTTTGTTTTTGCAGATGTTTAGAAATTGCTCCACTTTGTGACAGGCCACTTGTAACAGAGTAAAACAATTAAGTGAAACTAATAATACAACCTCATCTTAAAGTACATGCAGTGTTTCACACCTGTGATACTCCCAACTCTAGTTAAAAAAAAAATCCAGGGGCCTTCTGGGTGGCACAGTGGATAGAGCACTGGCCCTGGCAGGAGGATCTGAGTTCAGATCTGGCCTCAGACACGTAAAACTCACTGTCTGTGTGACTCTGGGCAAGTCACTTAACCCCAATTGCCTCACCTCCCCCCCAAAAAAATCCCTCCCCTAATTCCCCATTCCATTTAAAAGAAAAGAAAAACAAATTTCTTGTAACAATTCTGCATTGTCTAGCAAAATAAATTCCCTCAATAAATGTGTGTATATACAAATATACAGTCCATGGTATGGGTGTATTCCAGGGGTGGGAAACCTGCAGCCTCAGGGCCACATGTGGCCTTCTAGGTCCTTGGATGCAGCCTTTTGACTGAGTCCAAATACTTTTATTAATGGGCTTGGTTCTGTGAAGTTTGGATTCAGGTTCCTCTCTCCGGTCTATTCCTTCTTCCATTTAATAACCCTTCAAATATTTAAAGAGGGCCATGAGATCTTCCTTTAGCCTTTTTTTTGGCCTCTGTGCTGGAGTAATGACAAAGGAGCCCTGAACTTGTTTTTGTTTTTTTTTTTAAAAAGTGTTTTGATAGTTGTATTTCACTATAATTATTTTCTTCTGTGGTATTATATGTTTTATTTTTTGTGTTAAAAACATTCTGAGAAGGGGTCCTTTCCACACACAAAAACAATTAAGTGCTCCTCCTAAATACCCCTGTGTTATTCAGCATCTCCATCCCAAGCCATGGACTTTAGACCTAAAAGTGATCATAAACATATTCTAGTACAGTTTTCTCATTTTCCAGATGAGGAAAGCTGAGGTCACAGAGGTTGTGACTTGCTCAAACTAATACAACTAGTGAAGTGTGAGACTAGACTCAGATCTTTTGACTCTCTATTCCATTATTTTTTGATTTCAGGGTGCACTAGTTCAGCAACATCCCTTTTAAAAGGAGGTGCTCATTCTGAAGTGCAAATATTTTAAGACCATGGCAAAGCACAGTGTAACAATGATGACTTTCTATGCTGTGGACTAGAAGTTTTCAGTCTATCCTCAATGAAATCTGCTTTTCTGGCAATTACATTACCCTTATTTGCCTTCTTTCTTAGTATGAGCTTTCTATGACTCCATCTTTACAAGACCCAAATGTAGATGTTAGATGAATGAAAGTGTTGGTAGGATTGTAGCAGAAAGGAATCTCAAATGTCACCTAGTCGAGCCCTTCATTGTACAGATGAGGAAACTGAGGATGACTGAGTTTCCCAAGGTCAAGTAAGAGAGCTAGAATTTCTGCCTTATGTGCTCTGACTCCAAATGGATCATTCAACCCACCCTAGCTCCATTCATAATTATGGTCATTGTAATCATGCAAATTAATTATTAAAATAACCATGTAAATTAACTGTTACTAATTATGTAAATGTGTGATTATGTAAATGTGGTGATTGAGTTTCTCAAACTGGACAGAGAATACTTTGGTGTTTGAGCTATTTTGCTGAAACACACATACTGGACCAGTATATTGGAGGGTGGGTTAGGGAATAGTGCCAGAATAAAGGGGTTTGGAGAAATTTTGAAGCGGGATAGGAGAGCAGAGTTCATATCAATAATCATTATCATTGGCCATACGTTCTGGTTAGATACAAGATTGTGATGGGATTAATTTTGGACACTTATTGGGGGTGAGTGGGAAAGGATAGGTACAGATTTTCCCTATGGGAGGCACAATGTGAAGAAAGGCCCACTGAGTGTGAAGCAGTCCTATAGGATGTGTGAGTTTTAGAAGTTGTGCATCAAATGCTATATGAAAAGTGGACCATGGGAGTATGTCATTTAGAGTGTGGGGAGACTGGAGAAGTCATGTGTAAGTCATGTGTTAGGAACTTTGAGTGTTAGCTGGTTTTTATTGCCAGAAGATTTGAGGGGAAACGATGCTATGTATATGCTATGGGGAATTGGTGTGAAAAGGGATGATACCAATGTACAAACGGGTCCAAGTCATGCTGTAACAAGACATGGTAGAAAGATCACAGTATTGTGTATGTGATAGAGATAGGAATGTGTGTGTGTGTGTGTGTGTGTGTGTGTGTGTGTGTTTCTAGAACAGGAATTGGGCTAAAGTGTCAAGTTTCTGGTACCCTCTAGATTTTTAATGTGGGTTAGTGTTGATTTCCAAGTAATCCATCCATCAGCCTTGTTTAAACTTGACATTTCACCTAGGACTCCCCATCTGTATTGTTTGGAGCAACAGAGTTACATAAAATAGTCTCAGAAATGCTATTCTAATTCACATTTGGGTTTTTTGTTTTAGGTATAACCAATTATGAAGAATATTCATTAATTCAAGAAATAATTGAAGAGAAGAAAGAGGAAGGAACGGGTACACTCAAAAAAGACAGAACACTACTACGAGATGAAAAAAAGATGGAAAAGCTAAAGGCCGAAACTTCACACTGATGACGATTGTAAGTGTAGGGGAGAAAACAAGAAGCATGGGAAGGGGGCAGGGTTGACTTAGCACCGCGTATCGAAGGATGGTATTGTGTTTCTATCCTTTGTGTAATTCAAGACTCCTTTGCCCAGGGTATATTCTCACATTTCTCTACTTATTCTTAGATGCCTTACCTTTGTGCCCTCTAGGTTATAGGCTAAAGGAATAGTAACTTGAGTACCTCTATCCAGCCTCATCTCTCATGGCTTTCCAGACCCACTGCTCTAATCAGACTTATCTTCTTACTGATCCTAATGGCCAGTGAGCAGACATTGAATTAGGAGTTAGAATGACCTAACTTTGAATTCTGCCTCAAACTTTTACTAGCTGTATAACCCTGAACAAGTCACTCAACATTTCTAGACCTTAGTTACATCATCTGCAAAACAGGGAAAATAATAGCACCTACTTCGTAGAGTCTTTGTGAAGGTGAAATGAAAGAATATATGTAAACCTTAAAGTACGGTATGTAAATGCTAGATATCATTATCATCACTACCACCGTCATCATCCCCAAATACATCACCCTCATCATCCTCGTTCCTGATTTATGCTCATGCCATTTCCCAATCTGAAATGGTGTTCCCCAGTCTTAACCAGGAGAGACAGTATGGCGTAGTGGATAGGACAGTGGACTTGGATTCAGGGCATTGTATGCAATATCCACTCTTCCTCCAAAGACACATACATCTCTGCAAAAAAGGAAGAAGGAGCTGTTTTCTCATATCTCTTCTTTGGGGTCAAACTTGTTTTTTTGTTTTGTTTTATTTTAGTTTTGCCATATTAATTTTTAACTATTTTGCAGTTGTCATTTACATTGTTGTAGTCATTGTGTACATCATTTTGCTGGTTCTCTAACTATTGGTATTATTATCAAATTGCTTTAGTGAACTTCAGGAATGATAGAAAATAACAAGTCAAAGTATTTGTTGGACTAAAATCCCTTGCTTTTTTTTTCCACTTGTCCTATGAAAGATGTAAAAACACTTTGAAGATTTACCGCTTGTGATTGCTTTTTTTTTAATCTGTATTTCAAGAGATATCTGACTAGATGGGGATTGTGTAAAGTGTCTGAAAAGTTTTAGTGCAGTTTTAAGCTCTGATAGTTTAAATATTAAAAAATGACAGTGTTGTAAAAACAAAAGAGATTAATTAGAACTTGAAAAAATAAAGCATTTAAACAGTGCCTAATAGGGTTTTACACAAATAGAAAATGGTTTCTTCAATAAAATATCCAATTTTAAGCTTGGTCTAAATGTTCTTACCTTTGTTTTTCTAACTGTTAAACAGTTGAACATCAAGAATAGCAGTCTGTATCAAATGGCCTTTTTGTCAGATTCTTTTAATTAAGAGATATAAACACCTTTCACTAATACAAGTCTCATTGCTTTCCAGTAAATTGGCTAGATCACAGTCGAACCTTTAGAGAACAAGGAGTGGATGAAAGTGAAACATTACTGCTTAGACGGAAATTCTTTTATTCAGACCAGAATGTAGATTCAAGAGATCCCGTGCAGCTGAATTTGCTTTATGTTCAGGTATGGTAAGTCTGCAAACTCAGTTTAAACACCATGGCTGTGGTAGCACATGGAGTAGAGGGTGGACTCTGTGTTAGTTGGGTTAAGTAATTAAAAGCCTTTCTCCAGTACCCATTGTGCGTGAGAGAGCATTACTTCTACCCACTGGACACTTTTTTTGGTCCATGTAATCATGGGGAGCCATCTAATGGGAAATGGGGCAGTTCTGCTCCACTTGAGATTCCTTCTGGACAAAACATTGATCTGGAAGGGACCTAGAGTAAATGTTGACCTGTAAGGAACACTAGACATTAATTTAGGAATGTAAAACATGTACGAGCTAATTGAGATACTTGTTAAAGTAATCATGCTTACAGAGACAATTAGGGAAAATGCATAAGCAAAGTTAGCCCTGGATTCCTTAGCTAGTGAAGAGGAAACAACAGATTAAGGACGGGAGAATTGGAGATCAATGAATGGAAAATGAGGAAAAGGGAGGGGGAAAGATAAGTTAGTAAATTCTAGGGCTTTTAGTCAGTTCACATGCCATTTCCTATCAACACTCATGCTTTCAATTTACAAGTGCATTCAGTTCATAGAAAATGTCATGTTGATCTCTAGGACAGGCTGTCATTTTATTCTGTGAGCTCCTCTTTAAATGAAGGTGGAGTATCTTTCTTCTCCAGGATCACACGATTTTGCAGTAACTGCTCCCTCCTTGACTTTTTTCTCCAAGTTTTCCTTGTGATATTGGAAGGAACTTAAGCAAATGAGGGAATAAGATGATGTAATGGAAGGAGCCTTGTATTTTCGATCAAAGAACATAGGTTGACCTCTTAACGCTATCAGTTACTACTTGTGTAACTTTGAACAAGTCAATCCATCTCTCTGGGCCTCAGTTTTCTTATCTGTGAAACGATGGCATTGGACTGGCTGAATATTGCTATCCTTTCCTGCTCTAAATTATATGAGCCAAAGATAGCTAACACCTTCAATTTCTAAGACCCACCTTTCTCAATCTGTTAATTTGACAAATACTTTCCAGTTTTTCCATTACTTTTCAAGGTCATCTTTACCTTCTTACCTTCAGTAAATCTTTTATTTCAAAATATCTGCTACTTCTTCTCCCTTCTTAACCTTTAAAAACTTTACCATTTTAGGAGTTTTATCTTTTTCTTCACCTAAAATTTCACTTAACCAAAGTCAACAGTGATAACTTTAACTCAAAATTTTGTTGGTGATATTGTTCAGATTTTATTGTTCTTCCCAAAGTGGTGCTTACTTTAGTGATAAAGCATGGCAATGTATCAACAGAAGAATTTGTCAGTAAGTTAATGATGATGATAATAATAGCAACAACAACAATAATAATGATAATAATGATTCGTCTTCACCAGGCAAGACTCAAGGCTATCAGGGAGAAAGCTGACACTTAGTTTTGTGAAGAGACTGATTGTTAAGAGACTGACTAGCATCCTAAAATCAAAGCTTAATGCAAACAAAAAGCTCATACATTCAAGGCTGGTATAAAAAGATGAATACGTCCTTGCTAAAAAGGAAGAAGACTGACTGAGAGATGTTCTCAGAACGCATGATGAATAGGTTAAAACTTTACTAAAACATTTTTGGAACAAACAAATATTGCTTCACAAAGCAGTAACAGAGGTAGATGATAGACATATCTTGTAAGATTTGTCACATATAGCCAGGAGTGGTTTATCTCCAAACAAAGCCTATGTAACATCTAAAAATCTCAGAGTAGAAACAAAATGTGCCCCATGGGTAACATGCATATGAACTCAATCAGTAATAATGTCCACAAAGAAATTCACAAGAAATAGCTGAGTTACATGGATTTGCTACCGAAACAGAGCAGTTTGTGGTAATGTTGCCATATTAGATTGTTGCAGCCAGATACTCTAGAAAGGTTCTGATAAGAAGTTTCTATTTGTTGATCAATTCAAATTATGCCATGAAGTAATGGAGATTATGCAACACTTCCCTGTAAATTGCAAAACTCAGAGGGGCAGCTAGCTGGCACAGTAGATAAGCTCTGGCCTTAGAGTCAGGAGGATCTGAGTTCAAATCCAGCCTCAGACACTTGACACTTACTAGCTGTGTGATCCTGGGCAAGTCACTTAACCTTGATTGCCTCACCAAAAACAAAACAAAACAAAAGTTTATGGGACAACTAGGTGGCTCAGTGAATAGAGCACTGGCCCTGGAGTCAGGAGGATCTGAGTTCAAATTCTGCCTCAGACACTTGACACTTAACTAGCTATGTGACCCTGGGCAAGTCACTTAACCCCATTGCCTAGCACTTCCCCCCCCCCGGCCAAAAAAAATAAAATAATAAATTGCAAAAATCTGCCAGATAGATATTTAGACAATTAGGTGGCTAGAATTACACACCAGAAGCTTGCTGTCCTTTGTAAACTTACAGATAACAAGTCCCCATACTGAAATACAAACACCAAAATATTTTTTAGAATTCAACAAATAAACCATTATGGAACCAGAGCATTATTATAAGATGGAAGTGTTGCCCATAATCACTCAATACTAACAGTGATCCGTAAAAAATTTGAGTATGACTTTTGGTAGCTGCCACCTTAACGTATCCTCATAAGCACCAAACCACATGGAATGAAAAGTCCTGAAAGCATAGAGTCCTAGTGGACATCATTAAAACTATGAGGGAACAGGGTGAGGCACATGTCTACAAGAGCTGTCCCTAACATAATTTTAGTGAGTCCCTGAAGATGAAATTAAATCTCAGTACTCTTAATCAATTTTTAAAAATCACTTTATCAAAAACAGCATGCTATATATAAAAGAATAATCACAGGATTGCAACTTGTCCAAAGACCTTTTCTGCTAGTTGGCACAATACGTAGAGTATCAAGAAGGCCTGAATTCGAATCCAGACTCAGGCACCTCCTAGCTACATGACCCTGTGCAGGCCACCTAACCCTCTGTGTCTCAGTTTCCTCATCTGTAAGATGGGGATAATAGCATTTATATCTCAGAGTTGTTGTGAGGGTAAAATGAGATAATATTTAAGTACTTTGAAGACCTTGAAGTGCTACATAAATGCCACCTATTATAATTATTATTGCTATTTTTGCTCAGTTGTGTCTGAGTCCTCATGACCCCATGGACCATAGTACACCAGTGCTGTCTGTGGGGTTTTCTTGGCAAAGATTCCAGAATGGTTTGCCATTTTCTCTTCCGGTTGATTAAGACAAACAGAAGTTAAGTGACTTGCCCTGGGTCATATGGCTAGTAAGTGTCTGAGGCCAGATTTGAACTCAGGTCTTTCTGACTCCAGGCCAAGCACTGTATCCAATGAGCTACCTAGCCGCCTCCATTATAATTACTACTGTTATCAAAAAAGAGGAGAATAAGATAGTGATAACAATATTAATAATAACTTTGAATGAAATTCTGAGGAATTGGGTTCTGACATGGATAGCACCCTGGGCAGCATGATACAACTGCTCCAGAGTTAAAGTTGTAGGCTGACCCTTCCTACTTGGAACTATTGGGATGGTCAGATGGACTTAGAAGCCCAAAGAGCAAGATAAGTCTTGGGGCAGCTAGGTGGTGCAGTGGATAGTGCACCGGCCCTAAAGTCAGGAGAACTGAGTTCAGATGTGGCCTCAGACCAAACACTTGACACTTACTAGCTGTGTGATCCTGGGCAAGTCACTTAACCCCAATTGCCTAAAAATATAAAAAAACCCCACCAAAATAAAAAAAGAAGCCCAAAGAGCAAGTATTACGCCTTTATTTTCTGCCCAAATGTGGTCAGATATATCAGAACAAATGAGAAATGTCAATATCCCACCTTATGGAAATGCTTCGGTGAAGATGGTGCTGACCACTAAGGTAGACAAACTGTGAATGTGCATGAAATGGACTAAATATATCCATGTTTTCATTACATACCAGTTCTATATCGTAAAAAATTAAAAACTGAATTTGCCAGTTAACGTTGGGAGCATCATATTGTTTTTTGTCAGTGGTATCCTGAACTCTTAAGTCATATTTCTGATCAGTGCAGGGAAATTGTAAAAAATAACTTCATCCTTTAGCCCAAATTAGAGGAAGTTAGAGCTGAAATGGAGGACTTAATAAAATCTGAAGAGAGTAAGGTTGCAGAACCTGAGGTCATTGAAAAGCTTCACTTATCACTAAAGGCAGAAATCCTGCCTGATAATGAAATGGATGATAATAATGACTGGTATTGATATAGTATGGTGGCATTTATAAGATGCTGGCGTTTCTGACTCTTGCCTTGCAGGCTCGAGATGATATCCTGAATGGTTCCCATCCAGTCTCCTTTGAGAAAGCTTGCGAGTTTGGTGGATTTCAAGCCCAGATACAGTTTGGACCTCATGTAGAACATAAACATAAACCTGGGTTCTTAGAGTAAGTGCATTTTTTTTTGTTCATTCTCTTCGTCTCTCTCTCTCTTAAAACCAAATCCCTTTGGTATGGTGGCGTTTAGAAAGGGTTGGGGGATACAAAATCTGTATTCCTTTTCCATGCCTTTTAACTGGGGCTATTCCCAGTATCCAGAATGCTCTCCCTCTTCATCTGCACCTCCTGGCTTCCCTGGATTTCTTCAATATTCAGCTCACATTCCAGCTTCTACAGGATTCTTTTCCCAACCTTCATAATCTCTCCATGAGCCTGAATTACAGGGAGCTATTAACTATGAGCGATGAAGAGCACACTTCCCAATCACAACCTGGTCCTTCAACCTGGGGTGACTTCTGCCAGAATCTTAGTGCATTTTTACAAGGTCTTGTTCTGTCCCTGTCCCTTTAGCAGCTTCCTATCCTTCGCCTATTATAGCCCTCATTCTATTTCGTTGTTTTCTTAATGTATGTAGTTGAAACAGTTAGACCAATCATTCAGATGCCAGGGAGTTGTCAATATAACAATGCTACTTAAAGCTGAGAGTGCAGACAAATTAGTAGCAGCAATGGGAAGTGAATGTCAATTGGGGGAGTGGGACTAAATGAATAGGCATAGCTGATAAGAGAATTCAGAATATGTTGTGAAGGCGGAAATAGGGTCATCAATTAGATTGTGCCCAAGTCTCTTCTGAGGGGAATAATGAAAATGCTGACTCATCCCTTAAGTCTCATACCATCTAAATGGAAGATAATGGTAGATGCCCTTGAGAGAGAAGGAAACCTTGGCTCTTTATTTTTAAAATCCTTCTCATAGCCAGAAAATGCCCATCCATTCCTTGTTATTTCGTCTAGTCTATGCCGTTTGAAAGAGTCCTACCCTTGGGTTAATGAATTTCAGGGAGTCTCTCCAGAGTGATGATTGGTATTGGAATATCATATCATGACCTTGATTCTCAGACTTGCTCTAAAAAGATTTCCTATGAGGAATTCCTGTTATTTCAGTCTCTATTCTCCAAATAATCAAGTATCCAAGTAATCAGGAGTGCTTATTAACCTGGCTAATAGAGTTTTCTTCACACTGAAACTGTGTGAAGACCACTTTACTGTTTGTACAAGAGTAACTTAATTATGCTGTTGAGTATCTTCAATGATGAACTATATAAGAAAGGAGATGACTTTAAAAACAGCACTTTAAATAGAATGACTTCTCTGTTTTTAACTACTCACAGCTGTAAGCCCTATTTGGTTCCCATGGGCTTCAGAAGGGAGTCCCAAGTTAAATCCTTCTCACTCATTTTTTACCAAATATATTGATTATAATACTGTATTTATACCCCTCTACCAGGAGACAAGAGCTGTTAAACCTTATGATAATAAACTATTATCATAGCATGTAAGAGATAGGTAAACTGATGAAGAGGCAAACTCATCTTCACTCTGTTAGAGAATTCTTTGTCCGAAAAGAGCACTTTGATTGAATTCTTCCTTTACCCCTTAATGCTGGAACCTGTGACTTTTGAATTCCTATATGGTCTCCTGGAGACCATAACACTGCCATCTTCCTCAAGACAGTCTTCGTGGAAGAGTTCTTTTATTACTGGTCTTCCAGAACAAAAATCTGATTTTAAAATTACCTACTTGCTATTTGCCCCAAGTATGGAATGCAATTTAATTATCAGCCAGTCACTTAGTATTAATAGGTATAAGTATGGTTGTAATCTGTTTATTTCTAACTAATTATTGAATGCCTTCTAATTCCAAAATACTGTTTAGGCACTAAGGGAAGCAAAGATGAATAAGCCATCATCTCTGATATGATTGGTGTTCTGAGGAGGGAAATTAAAGCTACTTGTATTGAATTAGTGTGGATTATCTCAGTATACTCTATAAAAGCATCAGAAAAGGGCATGAAAGTACATTTGGGGGTTGAAGGAGAATGGGAAAAGTTTAGAATAAGCATGATGGGAATGCAGTAATCAAAAATAAATAACAGCTGTGCCAAGAAGCAGGGTGGGACACTTGAGCTTAGGTAGAATGTAACTATATTGCTGGCCTAGTCAGCCTGATTTCCTAACTTTCTTTGGCAATGCTAGGCAGTTTGAGGAGAGGAGTTTTCTAGAATGACATCTTCCCTGACTACAATGATAACATCCCTTCTTTTGAAAATCAGAGCTGGCAAACATTCTGAAATTGTGTTTTTCAAATCTTCTAAGATATAACAGATTATGCCTCTGGTAGATTATGTACTTCAGCTCAGATTCCAAATTAAAACAAGCTTATTGTTGCCTTGTGTGTTTTTTTCCCTGAGGAATTTGATTTGCTTTTTAATTTAGACAAAATCCAGCATAGGTAATGAGGCATTTTCATTTAATGTTGATATTGGATTGTGTCTTTTCCTTGTATATACCATACAGGTGGTAATTCCAGTGAATGTGCTCAGTGTTTTAATTAAATTAAAACTGTGAAGCTACATGTTTCCTGCTTTCTCCTTTATAGTGTATTGTGGTCTTCAAGGAAGTAGTCTAGTAATTCAGTGAATCCTTTTTACTAGCATAAATTCCAGAATTATGCCCTAAACATCACGTGTATGTTTATATGCATGTTTATATACTGTATGCTCACAGACCTGTGTATGTACTCTCTGAAGAAAGCTCTGTGTGAGACATAACTTGGTATATCACAGTCACCAGAATCAGCTTGTCAGGCATATTTTGATAGAGATCTGTACTTTGTAGGTATACATCTCAACTAGCAATGTGTAACAAATGCCTATGGTACTGGCTAGCTACTACTGTTTGAAAATTGATTTTAGTTGAAAAATTATTCTCTGATCAACAGCTGTTTTCTGCTCATACTGAAGGCATTTTGTCTCTAGTAAAAGTTCAGTCATCATCTACCGAGTGTTACTTAGCCTTTCATTCATAGTGCCCTATAACTTGTAGCTTTGCTTAGTACCTTAGGTAAATTCTCCTGTATTAATATTTTTTTTTGTAGTCAGTCAGTCAAAAGCACCTACTATGTGCTGGGCACTGTCATGAAATACAGATTCCTTTGTCTGGCATTTAAAACCTTCTCCTGTTTGACTCTATCGTATCTTGCTATCATCCCTTTGCTTTCATTTTTCGCCACTCTAGTGTGACACCTCTATTTCCTTTCCCATCTTGGTTCTAGAATGTGATTTTCTTGGTGTCACGGCACTCCCTTGTCTGCCCCAGTACCACCCACGTACATCCTTATCTAATCATTTGCCAAGTGCTCCCGGTTCAAATTCCACCTCTCTCCTCTCCATCCTTTCCTCTCTGTATACAGTTACACCACCTAGATTTAGACCTGAACATCTCATTAGCTGTCATCTCCTAAATTGTTTCTCTTCCTTTAGACTTTCTGTTTTCCAATTCATTTTTCCATACAACTACCAAAATAATTTTTCTGATGCAGAGATCTGGCCAGACTATCCCCCTACTTAAACATTTAATGTTCCCGTTGCTTATAGAACACTCATAGAATCACTTATAGAATATTAGAGGTATTACTTATTGCTTACAGAATATTAATACATTTAGAATAAAATACAAACTTTATAGCCTGACAGATAATGCCCTTCATAATCTTTCTTGCCAGTGTTTTCAACCATGTTGTCACAAAACTCCCCTTCTATGCACTCTGTATTTCAGGCAGTCTGTACTAGTAGTCTCAACGTGCACTTGCCCGCCTGCATTGTTATACGTGTTCTACCCCATGCCTATAATACATTATGTCCTTGAAATCCTTTTCTTCCTTTACAGTTCAACTCAGGTGCCAACTTCTCCATGAAAACTCAAGAATTTTCTTCCATCCCCCCAAGATGTAAGCACTTTTTTCTAGACTTCTTTACTCCTATCAAATTCAGTCTTACTTTATACTAATTTTTGTGTATTTGTCCTATCTCCTGTTATTAGATTTGAAGCTGCTTGAGGGCAGGTTCTGTATCCTTTTCTATATTTGCATCTGTACTGACAAATTTATTCCCTTGCATATGGTAATATTTTCATTGAATTATATTTTTGAATAGGAAGTAACACTCAAAAGTGTGGATTTTTCATTAATTAATGCATTGGTAGTATGCAAGATAGATTAATATCAGGAGGATATGAAGTTAGAGGCAGGTGGCACAGTAGGTAGAGCACCAGCCCAAGATTCAGGAGGTCCTGAGTTCAAATCTGGCCTCAGACACTTACTAGCTGTGTGACTCTGGGCAAGTCACTTAACCCTGATTGCTTCCAAAAAACAAAATAACAACAGATAAATAATATAAAGTTAGGAGAAACCATTTTAGCAGTCTGTTGTGATTGTTAAGGCAAGAAGTAGTTAGAGCCTAGACTGGGGTGATAGCAATGGAAATGGAAAAGAAGAAACAAATGCAGGAAATATAGAGTAAAAATTGACAGAATCTGCTGATCAGTGTGGTTTGCCCTTCTTGTGTGACCACAGTGGTTTTTGTTTGATCGTGTAGAGATTTTTGTCTGGCTGGAAATGTGGGATGGGAGAAGAAATTTCTTTTAGAGTTTACATATTCATCCTGTGGTGTCTAAACATGCTTTGATAGTGATTTTCCTGTAAGACAAAATAATCTACTTTCTGAATGTCTGGTAGTGGCAGAACTTGAAACTTTTCACCGCGAACTCTGAGCCAGTGTGTTGTTGACTGAGCAAAGCTCTTGACAACATAAGAGGTCTTAAATCAGTTTTAGCCTTGGCATCTGCTCAATTGTATATTTTCTCCTGCTAAGCTCTTGGGAGTTTTCCTCTTTGAGGTTTTGTTTGAATAATTTAGAGGCCATTGCTTTATTTTGGAGTATACAATAAAGGATTTTTTTTTCTTTTTGGAGGAGTGGGCTTTAGTCAGAGGTACTTATAGAAGCTTAGACAACATGGAATATGGGGATAGGGTGAGGGAGGACAACAGCCACTTTTCTGAAGATCATTTCATTCATTTTTTTTGATTCTGGACTAATATAACCTCTTCCTC